TAACCCTGTAAATCATGTTGCACCAATGTTGTTCAGACATTAGAAGTGTGATAGAATATTGGAGTTGCATTGCATAAATAGGATTTACAAGCAGAGGACCTATATAGTAGAAATTCTATATTAGGTGAAGTAGTACAGATTTTAACAGTTACACTAGTTAACACTTGATTCAGCAAAGATTTCTGAGTATGAATTAATTAGGTATAAGTAAGTTTATAGTGTAATACAGCCTAGTGCCTTGCATTTAGTAGCAATACTAACTTAGCTTGGCAGCTAACTAGATTGGGAGGATCTATCTCAGAAACATTCAGAAGTCTAAACTGGTAAAGGGCCATAGTTAGAACTGGATTTGTATGAATATCAAATAAGGATATATGTAAGCTAAATTAGGATATAGTATAGCATAGATAGGTTTCATAATACCTATCTGTTAGGGGTGTTGAAGTGAGACTTATTCAGATAAGACCTAGGCTCATAATAATAAAGTTTGCGACTAATATCAGCTTAGGTACCTTCTAAAATGAAGTAATACAGAGTTATAGTTAACTATAAAGAGTAATATTTGCAGTAAGTAAGATAGAGCTAGAGAGTTTAAATAGAGAATCTTCTAAGAGATTTCAGGTATAGTAGCTAGTGTAGAATCTTCAGGCAGACTACTTAAAATAAACAACCTAAAATTATATGTATAGCTAGTTGTACTCTCACAATATGTATCATTTCTGAAATTTATGAAATTAATAAAGTTTAGCTGATAGCATTTATATAAAGTAAAAAAAAAAAAAAAAATCACTAGTTATAAAAAGCTAACCTTTTTTTTTTTTTTTTTTTTAAAACATTGTATTCCTAGCAATTCAAAGTCACTTTTATAGATCTGATAAGTATAGTTCATATTCAAATTATTTAATCACTAGTTATAAAGTGCTAACCTTTTTTTTTTTCTTTTAATAAATTAAGGTTCCACAGGTCAAAATTTTTTATTATAGAAAGCCAATATGCAGAAGATATGTAAAAAAAAGAATATTAATAAATCAGTTAAGAAATTAGTTAATAGTTTATATAATTATAAAAATATCAGCCTAATATCATAGAATGATAGATGTAAGATATAAATAATTATATAAAATTATCTTAAGAAAGGCTGATATTTAAATGATAAATATAATTTTTTATTATTTTTAAAAGATATTTTAAAGATTTAAATATATTTTTTAAAGAAAAATCCTGAGTCATTTTAGAAAAAACTTTCTCTGTAGATCATCTAATCACAAAATTGAGCTAAAGGTTACTACATAGATAAACTATTAAACTCACTAATTAACATCCTTTAGCATATTAAGAAAAGAGATACAAAAAGTAAAATTATATATAGAAAAGTAGAAGAATAGAAAAACTTGAATTTAAAAAGTGATCTAGAAGAAGTCTCATCAAAAATTTATTTCAAAGAAAATTGTTTGTAAACAAAACTGGGAATTCTAAAACACTTTAAAATGTAGATCAACTACATAACACAAACATGTGCAAAGCAGGTAAACAAACAAATACAGTATTAAAATATGTGTTATGTATTAAAAAGCAGAGACAAATCATGTAAGACCAGAACTAGACAGTTTACAGGCAAACTAGATAAACCCATAGGAAATTTTAAAAAAAGGTGAAGGTACTTCTAGAAAAAAGATTTAAAGAATCTAAACAAAGAGAATAATCACCAAACAAAGTATAGAGTATAGACAGAGCTAATAATTATAGATTAAATTAGATAAAGCCACACAAACTCTCTTCTGTTCTCCTCAGTTGAAGGATCGAATATAACAAAATAACAAAAAAACAGATAGAAAATCTTTTTTTAGATACTAACAGGGCTAAAGCTCCCAAAGTTAGGAAAAGAAAACTACTAATAAGTACTATAGGTGCTTCTAAAAACAAGAGAACTAAGCTCTCAAACAACAAAAAAATTTTTGACCTCTCTTTATACCCAAAGAAAGAAGATAAAGAAAACCTACTAAGCCCTTCAAGCAACAAAAACATCTCTAACCTAGAGCAAAAGAATAATAACAACTGAGCAGACAAAGTAGAAGTAGAAATCTTTGACAAGAGTAAATCTAAGCAAACTGACTACACAGAAGTTTCTTCAAATGAAAGCAACAAAAGCTCTAGCTCCTCTTCTGTAAAAGAAACAACAAAACAACACGTGAAGTATGATGTAAACAAAAGTCACGTGAACGAACCAATCATTTCAAATAATAAAAATATACCAAAATCTAAGCCACAAGATATTACGTATAACTTAGAAGCTAACAACTAAGAATAACTCAAACCAAAATGCTGGTCAGACCTGTTCACCAAACTCAGAGGTGACAAGGCTACATACAAACAAGAGACTTCAAAAAATATGATTCTCTCCAAAAATGAAAATATACTGGTCTTTGATATCCAAAATCTTAATAACATATCTACAAATGATATCATTCTCTCTTTAGCAAATTCTCTTGGCAAAGATCTTCTAGCTGCTAAACTACATTTTAGCAGAGGAAAAAAAGCCTACCTAGAAGTAGTCTTCAAAAATAAAATATAGCAGCAATATTATGCAACAGAAAGAATTAATATTTTTAAACAAATGATCTTTGGTTATATCTCTATTAACCTAAAAAGAAGTTTCTTATCAGTCAAGGTCAGAAATACACTACTAGGAAACAAAGACCAGACCAACAAACTTCTTTTAGAAACTTTTCAAGATTTTAGAACTATCTACTCTGTCAAGCCTCTACTCTTTGAAGGTATTTCAGTCTGCTCTAACTAGTGAATTATTTCTTTCGAAACAACTAAAGATCCAGATCTTCTACAAAGACTACTAAGAACTACTTATGTTGGTGATCACAAAGTCAGTACTGAATGGAGAGAAGCTCCAAAAATGTGCTACTATTGTGAAAAAGAAGGTCATGTAAAAAAAGAATATAAAGAGCTAAAAAATGTAATTGCAATTCGGTCATACTACAAAGAATTAAGACTACAAAAAGAAAGGAATCAAACCTGTTATAAAATCCAGTCAGAATTTAGTCCTAACAACCCTTACACTCAAGCTCAGACTGAACCTAACTCACAACCTACAATTCTAAAAGAGAAAGACTCTTTTCCTTCAATGGAAATAGTTATCGAAGAAGAAAACTTTCTAAAACGAAACTGTCTTGCTAAAAAAGCAAAAGATAATTCTTCAGATCTGAATCAAGAAACAAACACCTCACCTTCTAACTCAGAATCTTTGGAACCAGAAAGTGAACTTGTAACAACTGACTCACATAAGAACAGGAAAAGGAAAAATAAGAAAGAAATACAAGAAAATAATACTATAATAACAGAGGTAACTACTACCAAACTTGGCTTCTTCTTTTATTAGATTATAACATCCTCAATAATAACATCCCAAAAACAATTATATCTCATTATGAAGAAAATCACAATCGCAACTCTTAACGTAAAAGGCCTAAACAACAGGGCCAAAGCTCAAAAAACCTTAATTCTTTTAAAATCATATAATTTAGACATTATCACAATTCAAGAAACAAATCTAAACAACATGAACTCCAGAAATTTTCTAGCTCAACAATAGAATTTTGACTCTTTCTGATTCTCAAAAATAGCAATTCTTGCTGGCAACAAACAAACCAAAATTGATAAAGCAAGAACCTCATTTAATGACTGAATAATTCAAGCAAAAATCACTTACAAAAATAATACCTTCTTAGTCACTAACATATATGCATCTAAAAGATAGAATTAACTTCTTTAATAGCTGGTCCCTAATGATCGATGAAGATTACATAAACTTTATAACAGGGGACTTTAATGTAAACTTAAACTCTCAAAAAGATCGAATAAGCCAAGCTTTAATACAAAATGATCCCTATAGAGAACTGGTCAAGAATCTAATGATAGACTTCACTGATATATTAGAAACCTCAGCAAACAACCCTTTTCTAACTTTTTATCAAAATACCAGAAATAGTTACAAAATGGCTACAAGGCTTGATTATATCTTTATAGATTCTAATCACAGTTTCCTAAACAAAGAAATACAAACACAGTTTAGTAATTCAGATCACCTTCTCGTCGAATACACTATTAGCTTCAAGCCAACCTCTACACATACTACCTTATGGAGATTCAACCCTAAATCACTCTCAAACCCAGAGACTAGAGATGCAATCCTTATAGAACTTCAAAAAATTGAAAACCTCAACAAGTGAGACTTACACAAATGCATGATTCAATCAATAATCAGGTAGCTAAACAAAACCTCTCTTCAGAAAGGAAAATCCAAACTTTACATAGGAGACTAACAAATATAAGTAATAGAATAGCTAGGGATCACAGACTTACAGACCTTCAATTTGCACTCGAAGAAACCAAAACGCAGCTACAGAAAGAACTTCAACTACTCTCAGAGAGATAGCAAATTAGATCTAATACTAGATGGATTGAGGAAGAGGAGAAATTCACAAAGTACTTCTTTTCTCGATACAAAATCAGACATGCAACATCAGGCAGTTCCAATATCAAAAACCCAAACAATTCTAGCTCAACAGATACTGCTAACACTTTATCTTATATTAAATGCTATTATGAGAAAATCTATAAGTTAGAAAGCATTAATCTCTTAGTAGCAAGGAGCTTTTACACAACACATCCAAAATCTCACAAAATACAAACAATGTCTTAACTAAAGAGATAACAGAAGAAGAAATTAGAGCAATAATCGACAAGCTTCCTAACAATAAGTCACTAGACCCAGATGAGCTAACATATGAATTTTATAAAATTCTAAAGGAAGCTCTGGTCCTAATTCTTACTAAGCTCTTTAATCAGATTCTATTAACAGGATATATTCTACACTCTTGGAGCAAGAATATGATTACACTCATCCCAAAGAAAACTGATAACTTAGAAAGTATAAACAACTGGAGGCCAATCTCTCTAGTCAACAGTGATACCAAAAACTTTATGAAAATACTAGCAAACTGGCTAAACGTGATCTGCAGTGAAGTTATTAACTCTACTCAACAAGCTTTTGTTTCTGAAAGATCTATCTCTGATGCTGCATTAGATATCATAACAGTACTAAGAAATCAACCAGACTAGTCAAAACAACACTGGCTTTTGTTCTTGGACCAACAAAAAGCATTCGACAGAGTTAGCCATTAATTTATGCAATTAGTACTTAACAAGATGAATTTTGAAAACAAATTCACCAGA